ACACCAACTCAGTCAGGAGAGCATGAGACTCTTAATTTCAGGGTCCTGGGTTTGAGTCCCACGTTGGGCAAAAGATTCCTTCATTGCGGGGGGCTGGACTAGAAGACCCTCGTGGCCCCTTCCTACGCTACAATTCTATGATCTGCACTATGCATTTAAAGCGGGATCATGCCACGTTAAACAGTTGCCGCTTCCTGCAAAGCATTCTGGGAGCTGTAGTTTGCTAAGAGAAGCAGAGAGTTGTTGGGAGACCCCATATGCCCCTCCATGAACTACAACTCCCAGAGTTCCCAGTGAAGAGGGAACGATGATCAAACCACTCTGGGAACTGTAGCTCTGGGAGGAGGATAGAGCGCCTCCTAACAACACCCACAGAGCTACAATTCCCAGACGATTAACTTACACAGTTATACCTCGGGTTACAGACGCTTGAGGTTGCGTGTTTTCGGGTTATGGACTCGCCAAAACCCGGAAGTACCGGAACGGGTTACTTCCAGGTTTTGGCGCATGCGCTGAAGCACAACCCGCGCATGCTCAGACGCGGTGCTGTGGGTTGCGAACACTGTGGCTTGCGAACGTGCCTCCTGCACCTTCCGAGCGTCCGCTATATCCATGTTCCTTACACCAGACGGCTGATACGATTACAGTGGTACCTCGGGTTAAGAACTTAATTTGTTCCGGAGGTCCATTCTTAACCTGAAACTGTTCTTAACCTGAAGCACCACTTTAGCTAATGGTGCCTCCTGCTGCCGCCACGCCACCGGAGCACAATTTCTGTTCTCATCCTGAAGCAAAGTTCTTAACCCGAGGTACTATTTCTGGGGTGGCGGAGTCTGTAACCTGAAGCGTATGTAACCCGAGGTACCACCGTACTATTAACATTTGTGGACCGCCTTTCATCGGCAGATCTCGGGCCAGTTTGCAACATAAAAATACGCAAACCTGGCTCCATGACTGCTGTACTTGTTGTGTTGATAACAGGAAAAAAAACACGAAAGAAAATGGGTTGCTGGTTTTTTTTGCTGGTGGAGGGGAGAAAGTGTGTCTGAAACTGGACGGAGACTTCTGCAAGAGTCGCAGCTCCCTACAAGCTCTCGGGGACAGCTGATATATTTTGCATTTCTAACACAGCACAGAACGTGGCACATAGTAGCCATGTGCGCATGGATTTGTGGAGGGGCCAGTTTTCCCTCCTGGGCAGCCCCACTCTTCGCCAAACCTTCGCCGCCAGCGCTGCCGTGGTTCTGCCGGCACCGTGGTCCCGCACGTCTGTTTATGATGTGGCTTCCTTTTCCCCCAGAGCCCAGCCTCCTCCTCCTCCTCCCCTTTTGACGTAGAGTCGGCCGATGCGCTCGCTAGGTCTCTGAGAACTAGCTTGGTGGCGCTTCCTCCCTCCTCTCTCCGCCTGCTTTCGCAGCCAAACCAGGAAATAGAAAGAGAGTCTCCGTTTGCTGGGTTGGAGAGACAGAGAGAGAGACACACACGGAAGCGTTTCTCCAGAGCTGTTCCACGGAAAGGTTTTTCTTCCCCCCCCCTCCTAAGAAAAACCACGCTTGTGCAAATCAGGAGATAGAGATTTATATTTGGGGAAATTGCAGCCGCCTCCCTGGAGACAAGGAGGGAGAAGCAGGAGGGTAAGGAAACTGGCAAATGTGTTAAACACACCGTGGGAACAATTTGGACTTCTGGTGCTGGTTTGGAGTCCCAGGATCCTGCTTCCAGTGGGTCACCTAGCTGCCATGGGGAGGCTCTAGGGGGGACCCCCGGCCCTTTCTCTGCTTCCTCCCAGCGTCTTGGTGCGTAGGATGTGCACCCTCTCCTGTTCTGTCTCTGTTTACCCAAGCTCAAAAACTTGGCAATTTCCTGGTACCTTGAATCTTGGGGAGAACTTTGGACGTGCGAGGCTATTGGGCGGCAACCGTGTTTGTTCACAGGATCTGAAAAGCTTCCCTTCCGCATCGAAAACTAGCCCATCAACGTTCCCGTCCCCTTGTCATGCTAGCTTTCCCCTGGCGAGACGTTATTTTATTCCTGGGTTTCACCTCATCTTTATTTCCATGCGTGTAGAAAGCTAGTCCTTCAGCAGCCCTGTCTCCTTGACACGCTGGCTTTCCACTGGCAAGACGTCAGAACTTTATTCAAAATTAACCCTCTTTAGCTCCCTCTTTAATTAGGGAGGATGATCCCGCCTTCCTCCGCCTCGCTGGCAATCGCTTGGGAGTTTGCTGCCATTTCTCCCCTCTTCAAGAGAGGCCTCTCTTAATCCAGATTAACAGGGCACCTTTTTAAAAACTGGGTGTTTTTGGTTCTTTGGGGGGAAGTTTTCCCCCTGCCCCTTCCACCAGCTCTTCACATTATTATTCTTATTATTGATTGTGAAATGCTTCCCTAAGGGAGAAAATCAAAACTGCAATTCTGGAGCATAGTTTCCCGGGATCGTGAGCACAGTTGCATTCTGAGGGGCTTCTTGAGAAAGCAATGGCGCTGTGAGACACTTAGCGCATGGCTTACCTGTGGAACTCTCTACTGCAGTGGTCAGCAGTGGACACCAACCTTGGATGGCTTTGCCAGAGGGTTGGACAAATCTGTGGCGGAGGAGAGGACTGTTGATGGCTACTAGCCACAAGGCCTCTGCTCTGCCTCCAGGGCTGGGGGAATAATGCTTATGAACGTGAGTTGTTGTGGGACGGAAGGGAGCTCTTGCACCCAGGTCCGTTTTGGGCCCTGCAACCGAGGTTTCAGGGGCCGTTTGGCAATGAGCTTCTATATCTGAGTTCCTAGCTTTGCTCATGCTATTTGCTGTTGTTGTTTAGTTGCTGTCGTGTCCGACTCTTCGTGGCCCCCTGGACCAGAGCACGCCAGGCACTCCTGTCTTCCACTGCCTCCCGCAGTTTGGTCAAACTCATGTTCGTAGCTTCGAGAACACTGTCCACCATCTCGTCCTCTGTCGTCCCCTTCTCCTTGTGCCCTCCATCTTTCCCAACATCAGGGTCTTTTCCAGGGAGTCTTCTCTTCTCATGAGGTGGCCCAAGTCTTGGAGCCTCAGCTTCAGGATCTGTCCTTCCAGTGAGCACTCAGGGCTGATTTCCTTCAGAATGGAGAGGTTTGGATCTTCTTGCAGTCCATGGGACTCTCAAGAGTCTCCTCCAGCACCAGAATTCAAAAGCATCCATTCTTCGGCGACCAGCCTTCTTTATGGTCCAGCTCTCACATCTATCCATCTCTACTGGGAAAACCATAGCTTTAACTATATGGACCTTTGTTGGCAAGGTGATGTCCCTGCTTTATAAGATGCTGTCTATCTCATGCTATACCAGCAGATAATGAATTGGCCGCTAAGCTCACTTGCGGGCTGGCTCCCTGCCCAGCATTCCTCGCAGGACTGTCGTGGGAGACTGAACACAGAGGGGGAGAGCCACATACACACCACAGTAGGAATGCAATAGAACGGGGATGTCCAACTCCCAATAGACTGCGATCTGCTCACAGCATAAAAAAATGGGCAGTGATCTACCCAAAGTTGTGGAGCTTTTTTTAGTAAGCCAAAGTTGGTTGTTGGTTTGTTTTTTTTTTGCTTTTTCTGCAAAAAAAAAAAGGAGATCGCTGAGGGGCCAGAGGTCAACCAGGAACACCCCGCAATCTACGAGTAGATCACGATCTACCTGTTGGACATGCCTGCAATACAGTGGGACCTCTGGTTGCGAACGGGATCCGTTCCGGAGGCCCGTTCGCTACGTGAAAAGAGCGCAACCCGCAGCGGTGCGCCTGCGTGGGTTGCAATTCGCCGCTTCTGCGCATGCGCGTGACATCTTTTTGTGCTTCTGCGCGAGCGGCGAAACCCGGAAGTAACCCTTTCCGGTACTTCCGGGTCGCCGCGGGATGTATCCTGAAAGAATGTAACATGAAGCAGATGTAACATGAGGTATGACTGTCGAATTAACGGCACTCATGATGGACTATATGGAACTTGCCGAACTGACCGGGAGACTGCGAGACCAGAGAGACGAGACGGTGGAAGAAGATTGGAAGAAGTTTAAGGAATATTTGAAGAAATACATTAATATTTAAATCTTAGAATAGCTTTGGAAGTGGATAAAGGTTGTAGGGTTAGAAGTAGAAGATAGTGTATTTTAAAATAGCATTATTTGTTACTGATAAAATGTGAGGTTTTTTATGGTTAAAGTAAGTGTGATAAAAAAATGGTTAGAAATTATGATACAGTGGTACCTCGGGTTACATATGCTTCAGGTTACATACGCTTCAGGTTACAGACTCCGCTAACCCAGAAATAGTACCTCGGGTTAAGAACTTGGCTTCAGGATGATAATAGGTTATTTTCTGCTGCTCCAGAGAAGCGCACACGGAGCAATGGATCCAAACTACAAGAAAGAAGATTCCACCTAAACATTAGGAAGAACTTCCTGACAGTAAGAGCTGTTCGACAGTGGAATTTGCTGCCAAGGAGTGTGGTGGAGTCTCCTTCTTTGGAGGTCTTTAAGCAGAGGCTTGACAACCATATGTCAGGAGTGCTCTGATGGTGTTTCCTGCTTGGCAGGGGGTTGGACTCCATGGCCCTTGGGTCTATTCCAACTCTATGATTCTATGATTCTAATAGAAAGTCGCGCGGCGGCAGCAGGAGGCCCCATTAGCTAAAGTGGTGCTTCAGGTTAAGAACAGTCTCAGGTTAAGAACGGACCTCCGGAACGAATTAAGTACTTCAACCGAGGTACCACTGTATATGTAAACTGCTAAAGATGAAGTAAAATGAAAATCAGATAGGTGGGACTTGGGGAAGCCCACTTAACAATATTTAGAAAAATAAGGATAAGACCAGAATCTGTTTGTATTGTTTGTTTCTGTTTGTTTCTTTATTTGTGTTATAAAATGAATAAAAAAATTTGAAGAAAAAGAAAAGAATTAACAGCTCTCATGATGAACCTGAAATATAACTCTGCAGATGCTTGTTTCGTATGCTAACCTGCCCTCTGTTCTCCCTCCAGCTCGGACGTGAAGCATTGCCGCACGACAGCCGCTCTCAATCCCCCCCTTGCCGCCATGTCGCCGTCTTCGGAGAGCAGCCCGCTGCAGGCGCCGGAAAGAACCCCCACGGCCCCTTCGAGGAGAGGACCCCCGGCACACTAGCACGGCACATGCGGGTGACGGTCCGCCCCCTGGCGCCCTCCCCTCCTCCTCCTCCTCCTCCACCCGGGATGGTTTACTGACCAAGAAAAGAGAACCGGCGTTTTCAACCTCCTTTTCCTCTTCTCTCGCTTTCGTGCTCCCCTTCCCCTCCTTCCCCCGACCCCCCTACCCCGCCCTGACCCCGCCCTGACCCCCCCAGCCGGCCCCCGCAAAGTTTCGGCCCTCGGATTTGCATGGCAGCAGCGTAACCGTGGAGAGGCCAGGGTACCACAAACTTATGGATTTTGATAAGAGAGGAGGCAAAGGGGACGCGGAGGAAGGGCGAAGGATGTCTAAGACAGGGAGCAGCCGCAACACGCACGGGAGCCGGACGTCCGGGACCAACTCTGGAGTCTTAATGGTCGGCCCGAACTTCCGTGTCGGGAAGAAGATCGGGTGCGGGAACTTTGGGGAGCTTCGACTAGGTGAGTCTCTGCACCTTCCCGTCCGTGGCCTGTTTTCTTTTTTTTTTTTTTTTTTAAATAAAATTTTTATTTGGTTTTCTGCTTTTATAAAGACAAAACATACACACAAAAAAAACAAAGACAAAAACATGTATAAAGTCAGCAAATCCCCATTTCATAACCTTGTTCCCTGACTTCCCCCCACCCCCCCTAATGCATCCCTGTTTCAAGATTATGTCAGCAAGTTGATATTTCTCCTCTTAACAATCTTATTCATCTTATTTCCTTTTTTTTATAATAAAAATTAGTTTCCATAAGTTGGACTTAAGTTCTCTTCCATCGATTTTCATTTTATCTTAATTAAGAGTCATCTTAACCAAACCTAAAAGTCTTAAGAGTTTTTAAGAGTCTCTTCTTCCCTCCCTCCCATCCCCGGTTTTTGTCCCTTCCCAATAAAAATCCAAATTCGAAGTTCTCAGCCTGGGTTCCTCACGTCCGAGGCTTTCAAATCTATTTCCGTTCCTCTCCGCCTGTCCTGTTGGTAGTCCTTTACAGCAGTCGTCAGATCTGGGAAAAGTTCTTTCACCATCAAAATATGTCCTCTTCCAACAAGAAGATTCAAAGGTGGCTGCTGAAGTATTTCCACAAAGTCTATCTCTTCCAAGTCTAAGTCCATACGGAGGCCCCAATCATATTTCTTTATTTTAAATTCCTGTACTCCATTTTGTCTTGGGGCCTCCTCCTTCTTCTTCTGTATCTCTCGCAGACTTGTGGTGAATATGTTCCCAGCGTCTCCTTGCTTGTATTCCACAGATGTCAACTTTTGGTTGTTACTTCCCAGGATTACTTCTTCTTTTTCTTGTTGTTTAGTCTCTTCCAGCTCTGTAGATATTGTTTCCCAATCAGCTGTGGATTCTTTCTCATTGAGGTCCTCAATACAAAGAGCAGAGTTGCCTGTTCCCAAGGTCATAGTCTCAAGTTGTTTGTTCATGGCCAAACTCTGCTCCTGTAAGATTCCCACCAATTGAAACATCCTTTCGATTTCCACTAGTAACTTTCCTTCCACAGCCATTGTATCCATTGTAGTTTCACAGAGTTCCCCCTAGGGGGAATCTGGTTACTTATTTGCCTTTTCACCAACAATCCTTAAACTGATTATTATTACTTTGTTTCCAACAGTTTCAGCTCACTTATAACTCGTCTTAGTCCATAAAAATCTTAAATGGCAATTTCTCACTTTAGACCGCCCGTTTGGCAGCTTTGACAGCTGTCAAACTCCGCAGCTCTAACGCAGGCACGAAGGCAGGACGTTCCCGAGCCCGGGAGGGGGGGTTGTTTAAAACAGAAGGAAGGTTTCCAAAACTCCACTCTCCTGCACAAAATTTTCCTTTAGTAAAATCTTGAAAGTTAGTGTCCTTTTTAACTCACCCCACCAAGGGTAGGCTCTCCAGCTTATCTCTTGTGTCGTTGCTTAGATGGTCTGCAAGGGGGGGGTGCGGACTTCCTTTTAGCACACCCCCGGTCGTCTCCAATTAAAGGTAAAGTTTTTCAAAAGTCCCAATCCGTCTTACTCACGGGTGATTCTTTCAGTCCAAATTTTCAAGGAAGGAAGTCAACGCTCTCCGGTCATGGCTCGCGGCTTCGCTCCACCGAGGTAGCGATCGACTCTCAGTGCCACGCCACCCCCGTATCCCCTCCGCAGCCTTTAAAAAGGCTCTTTGCGAATCAGGGGGGGCGCTTAAGGCACCCGCCGAGTCTTCAGTCCGCAGGCTTCAGCGCCTGCGGTTTTAAGGGTCCCCGCGTCGCCGGCGCGGCAAAGACCCATCCTCAGTGGAGCCGATTCCCTCCGGAGCTCGGAGGGAATCCGCCATTTCCAGATCGCGTCAACCCGGAAGTCCCCGTGGCCTGTTTTCAAATTCCAAGGGAAAAACACACCAAGAACTCAGGCCGATGTAAGTTTCAATAGTGGGAGTCGTCCCTACTTGCAAGTCAATGTTGTTGTTGTTTAGTAATGTCCAATTCTTCGTGACCCCCTGGACCAGAGCACGCCAGGCACTCCTGTCTTCCACTGCCTCCCGCAGTTTAGTCAAACTCATGCTGGTAGCTTTGAGAACACTGTCCAACCATCTCGTCCTCTGTCGTCCCCTTCTCCTTACGCCCTCCATCTTTCCCAACATCAGGGTCTTTTCCAGGGAGTCTTCTCTTCTCATGAGGTGGCCAAAGTCTTGGAGCCTCAGCTTCAGGATCTGTCCTTCCAGTGAGCACTCAGGGCTGATTTCCTTCAGAATGGAGAGGTTGGATCTTCTTGCAGTCCATGGGACTCTCAAGAGTCTCCTCCAGCACCACCGCAAGTCAATAGTAACAAAAACTAACCCATTCAAAAGTATGTATTCTGACAAGGATTACAAACTCAAATAGAGATTACAAACACTAACAGAGATTACATACTCAAACTCGTAAAAATATGTATAACCCTTTAAAAATTAGGTACGGAACCAAATGTTATATAATACTGTTTTACAAATTATAATTTTATGGTAATTTAGAATTTAAATGTATTTTCATGTAATATTCGACACTTCCAGCTGATGAAGGTGAATACATCGAAACAGGGCCCTGTCCTGGTTTCTGATCCATAATTGACTTCTGAATTCTGCTCAATGATTGAAACTAAGACCTTCAGGTCGAATCTGACTATGGACTAACATGAACTTATCTCTACTCATAAACTCTTCTCTCTAATTCTGTAACGAATTAATGTATTATACATATTTTTATGGGTTTGAGTTTGTAATCTCTGTTAGAGTTTGTAATCTCTATTTGAGTTTGCAATCCTTGTCAGAATACATACTTTTGAATGGATTAGTTTTTGTTACTATTGACTGTTGACTTGCGAGTAGGGACCACTCCCACTATTGAAACTTACATTGGCCTGAGTTCTTGGTGTGCTTTCTTCTTGGTATATTTAATAACAAGAACTCCCAACTGTTTTCAAATTCCGCCCTGCTTTCTGAACGCAACGCATTCGCAGGAAATGGTTTGCTGAACGAGCTGGCTGAGGATTCCCATTATTTATGGGGACATTTCTTATCCATAATTCATTTGATGCATACTTTCTGTCCCAAACTGTTGCAGACCCCCCAGCAAAAGTCAAACAAACAGGGGAGGAACCTGATACGTCTCGTTTCTTCTGCTCCCTGGTTTGTTCCATCTCTCTCCCTCCCTCTGTGGTTTCTGCCTGAAAATGGCTTAGAATCATAGAATCCTAGAGTTGGAAGAGACCACAAGGGCCATCGAGTCCAACCCCCTGCCAAGCAGGAAACACCATCACAGCACTCCTGACATATGGTTGTCAAGCCTCTGCTTAAAGACCTCCAAAGAAGGAGACCCCACCACACTCCTTGGCAGCAAATTCCACTGTCGAACAGCTCTTACTGTCAGGAAGTTCTTCCTAAGGTTTAGGTGGAATCTTCTTTCTTGTAGTTTGGATCCATTGCTCCGTGTCCGCTTCTCTGGAGCAGCAGAAAACAACCTTTCTCCCTCCTCTATGTGACATCCTTTGATATATTTGAACATGGCTATCATATCACCCCTTAACCTCCTCTTCTCCAGGCTAAACATGCCCAGCTCCCTTAGCCATTCCTCATAAGGCATCGTTTCCAGGCCTTTGACCATTTTGGTTGCCCTCCTCTGGACACGTTCCAGTTTGTCAGTGTCCTTCTTGAACTGTGGTGCCCAGAACTGGACACAGTACTCCAGGTGAGGTCTGACCAGAGCAGAAGACAGTGGCACTATTACTTCCCTTGATCTAGATGCTATACTCCTATTGATGCAGCCCAGAATTGCATTGGCTTTTTTAGCTGCCGCGTCACACTGTTGGCTCATGTCAAGTTTGTGGTCAACCACAAACTTCCGCTGACCAGCAAAACACAAACAGGTGTGGAAGTGGGCACGCTCTGGTGGTTTGGATATCTGAATCAGCCACTCGTGTATCAAGGTTTGGGTATAATTACTTAACTGAGATTTGGGATAACGGGCCTTTCCTGCTAGCGGGAGCTGTGCGTGTATAAAATGGGAAGGATGATTAGAGCGACAGGTAAAAGGTGAGAGGCCAAACTCTGAAGCATTTGCGCAGAATGAGTGCAGTTGCACATGGGTAGAATTAGAATCTCAGCGTAATGTGATGGTCAAGTATAAATCCCGATCTGGCAGGCTTACAATGAGGACTGTCTTGGAAATTATGGTCCCACAGTGAATGCCAAATCATAAAAAGTGCCCTCAGGTTCTAGTCCGTGTTGAAATCTCAAATTGTGCATGATTTTCTCCCAACTAAGTATTAAAAACCCAATAAAACATCAAACATCAAAAACTTCCCTATACAGGGCTGCCTTCTGGTGTCTTCTAAAAGTCAGTTCTTTTATCTCCTTGACATTTGACGGGAGGGTGTTCCACATGTGGGCGCCACCACCGAGAAGGCCCTCTGCCTGGTTCCCTGAAACCTTGCTTCTTGATTGGGGTGGAGACACTCCTTCAGGTATACTGGGCCGAGGCCGTTTAGGACTTTAAAGGTCAGCACCAACACTTTGAATTGTGCTCCGAAACGTACTGGGAGCCAATGTAGATTCTTTAGGGCCGGAGTTGTATGGTTCCAGTCACCAGTCTTGCTGACGCATTCTGGATTAGTTGTAGTTTCCGAGTCACCTTCAAAGGCAGTCCCACATAGAGCGCATTGCAGTAGTCCAAGCGGGAGATAACCAGAGCATGGACCACTCTGGCGAGACAGGGAGCGTCTCAGATGGAGCTGGTAGACAGCCGCCCTGTATGCAAAACTGACCTGCGCCTCCATGGACAGCGGTGAGTCCAAAATGACCCCCAGGCTGAGCACCTGCTCCTTCCGGGGCACAGTTACCACTTTCAGGACCCCACACCTACCTGCCCCCCAGAACAACAATCCGTTAGCCACCATCCATCCTCCAACCGCCTCCAGACACTCACACATTCCAGAGTGGGCATCTGTTGCA